GACCGGACCGGATCTCATCTAACGTCTAGACTGCCCGAACGACAAGGTTAGGGCAGACCCTAGTAAAAATTATTTATAGCCTAGGACTTTGCCTGCACTCTACATGTAAGCAATCCAAGTTTCCCTGGAAATTGTTCTCAATTTGAACCATACTCTGACAACGGTGCGACTCTACCTATCTTACTAGTTAGACGTACTTTCGTATAATTAGCGTAATACCGAGAAAACAGTCCTAACACCAAAGTACAAATATGGCTTGACAACAGCCTCTAGCGTTTGTTTGCCGTAGCAACGATGTACCTTCGCGTCAAAAAGGCATCAATGTACGCTGACATTTAAGATTTCCAGTCACTTAAAAAATACATTTGAAAAACTTTCTAAAAATAGCAAAGAATCAGAGCGTGCGGAAACAGCTCCTGTTTGATAGAGGCTTCCGCTAAAAAAAGGTGGAATCAATTTCCCCCATAAAAACCCACGAGGGAGTTCTGACTGCTATTGACGGCTGCCGATTTTCAAACATTCAATGTAAAACACCAAAATTTTTCGGAGAATTATTACGGGACTAGATGAAACATCCTTATAAGAGGTTACTTTTGATCTAGAACTGGATAGAAGACCACGTAAAGAAAATTTGTATCAAATGTGAAGCTCTCTTTGATCGCATTTAAGTTCCATTCATGGTTTACAAAAAAAAATTGTTAATGAATAAATTCTCATTCTGGCTTCTTTGCCGAATTTTGAAAGCTACGCATTTCTACTCCTCTTCGACTATAAAACATAAGTTGTACGACACAAGACGTGAGAACTTCTTTGGAGACTAGCTATTTCAGAAGTAGGTGCCCTTAGGTTCTTCATGCAGCTCTGATTTAATGATTTTTCTTATTTAATTTAATGATTTAGATTCTACCTGCTGCTTATATTTACTATGCCTTGAAAAAAAGCAAAGTTTTCAGAAGAACATGCATTTTGCTTCCATCTTTAAAAGCCCCTATCTGGCCTGTTGCCATCCTCCTTCATTTTTCAATTATGTTTTATCTTAATACATAAACTTTAGGTGCATCCAGACATTTTTGGTGAATGGATAATTCGAATTTTCGGGTCTTCCATTTGAAGCATATTACGAACAAACCTCAGTTTAGAACAAGGATTTTGTTGGATTTTATTAATGCATTTACCCCAGAGTAAGCGAAGGAACGTCCACAACCTACCCTCAAACCCCAACTTATAAAAAAAAAACCCTACCCTGCTATGGACACTACCCCACTGCTCTTCAGCATCTCTCGTTTCAATTATGAATATCCCCATGATCAAAAAACCCATTTTGTGTGAAATTACATTGCCTAGCTATTCTAGCTCAGTGCTACCTAGTAATCGTATAATTATGCACTGCAAAGGGTTAATTAGATCATCCGTGGACCTAACCGTCATTAGCATTCTGAAAGGCGAGCTGGCAGAACGATACGCAGCAAATAAATGAATAAATTAGGTTCAAATCATTCTCCAGCTCACTACTGTGGAGTTCCTAACTAGTGTTACTCTTCACATCTCTGACTTGAACAGCTGAGTGGTGAGTAATACTCGAAAAACTTGGAAGCTTCCTCGTTCATGTCAAAACTGCACGTCAAACAGATTCCCGACCATCGATTGCCACGAAACGTTTGTTCTTCGCGCGGCCAAAACAAACAGGATCAGGAGAAAACTCCAGGAAAGACATGGCTCCAGTTCTGAGGAAATTCAGAAGAAAAAAGCCGAGTAAAGACTCACCGGTAGAAGAAGTGCGCACAGGAATTTCGGAACGTCAGTGCATGTAAGTGCCATTGTGTCCTATCTGGAAAAAAGTGCATCAGATTTTAGAGCAAGGCTAGGCAATAACGTGTCACGTTGTGATCAATCGACACGGATGTAAACGACAAAGGCTGCGATAGAATTTCGGAATCAAATGGTGGAAACGAGGCGGAAGTTGTTCGCAAACAGAGGTATGTGTGGATTGGGACAGGAGCCACATACTGAAATCGAAGATCAGAACGAGACTGTGTGTTGTTTGACTCATAGATCGTGGATATTGCACAAAAGTTTTGTTAAAGAGAGATTAAAACTATTTTGCTCTAAAAATAAAGTCCTATACGTGCAAACGATGATAGACCGAAGTTTCTGGCGGAGAAAGTTGAATGACTGCAGTGATAAAGGCGGAAATGACTTTTGAAGGTCTATTAAGCCATTTCCTCCCCTTCAAG